ATTGTTTCGTTCTGCTGTGCATGGGGTCGCTATGAGTCGGTTCTGACTCGATGGCATCTGACAACAACAACAACAACAATGGGGAAAAAAAAAAAAAAGGAAAGGCTTGCCAATAGTTCATTTCTAGGTGTAGCCCATGGAATAGCTCATTTGAAGTGCAAAGAGCACTGTTTAAAAGTGAAAATTCCTAGACAATGTTTGTTGTTGTTGTTAAGTGCCTTTGAATCAGTTTTGACTAATAGTGACCTTATGCACAACAGTAGAAAACACTGCCCAGTCCTGGGTGAGCCTCATAATTGTTGATATACTTGAGCCCGTTGCTGCTGCCATTGTGTCAATGAATACCATTGGAGGTCTTCCTCATTCTCACTCACCCTCCACTTTACCAAGCATGATATCCTTCGTTAGCAACTTATCTCTTCTGATAATGTGTCCACAGTATGAGAGGTGAAGTCTTGCCATCCTTGCTCCTAAGGAGCATCCTGACTACGTCTTTCAACACAGATTGGTTCTTTCTTCTGGCAGTCCATGGTACTTTCAATATTCTTCTCCAACACCATAAGGCAAGCGAATCAATTCTTCCATGGTCTTCCTTAGACAATATTTCAAGTCTTAGATAATGTCTGCTGTAGTTAATTGCCATTGAGTCAGTTCCTACTCATAGTGACCCTATATAGAGTTTCTGAGGAGTGGCTGGTAGGTTAGAACTACCAAACTTGCAGTTCAGACCAATCCTCAGGTCCAGTGATGATCCTAGAGCACCATGTAAGAATTAAGTTCCAATAAATCAACCCTTGGTGGAGTGGACTATTCCAGGTTCTGCATCGTAACATGCTCCCCAGGAAAACACTTAGCTGCTATCACAAAGGCCTACAGTTCAAACACACCAGCTGCTCCACAAAAGAAAGATGTGACAGTCTGCTTTAGTAAAGATTCCAGCCTTGGAAACCCTATGGGTCTGTTCTGCTCTGTCCTGTAAGGCTGCTATGAATCAGTACTGACTCAATGGCACCAGTTTTTATTTTGGGTTGGCCAAAGAGATTGGTTAGCCTTTTATGTATATCTTTATGATGATTGTTGTTAAGTGCCATAGAATTGGTTCTGACTCTTAGTGACCCTGTATAGTTTCCGAGGAGTGGCTGCTAAGTTTGAAAAACCAACCTTGTGATTCAAACTGAGCTTGTAGTCCAGTGCTTACCCTGCAGTGCCACACCAGGACTCATCTTTATGATTTGCTATTGTTGAATGCTGTCAAGTTGGTTCTGACTCATAGCGACCCTGTAGAGTGTTTCCAAGGAGCAACTGACAGGTTTGAACTGCTGACTTTGTGGTTCACAAGCTCTTTATGATTAGTTCAATTAATTATTCAAGCATTTTTCCAAATAGGAACATTAGTTTTCCCAACCACTCCTAATCCTTAAACTGGAAGTGAATCCATTCATCATTAGTGACTTCACTGGTATAAGAGAAAGTAACACTGAAATATATATGTATCATAATAGCTATGTTGAAAAAATAAATTTGTATTTCAAGATATATACAAATAAATAAATTTTTATTTTCCTTTGAAGTAAAAAAAATTATATCATGATAATAGAGTCTGGATGATACAAAAAAATCTCTTTTAATGCTTAAAGAAATAAGATTTTAAAATTAAATTATATGAAATCACAAGGCCAGATGGTACATTAGACACTTAAATAAAACATTTTATTAGTTGTGTGCAGGATTATGTTAAGTGTTTATTTTATTTGAAAATATTATGGTTTTTCTTAAATAGTCCATCTAGGTGTTTTTTTAAGAGAAGTACTGTCACTTGAATGTTGCAGGAATGGATCTAGAATTGGCACAAGATCACATGTTAGAAGCCTGGACTACAGTCTCAACTCAATTGCTAATGAGCTGAGTGTCATTAAGAAAGTCACTTAACCTGGACAATATGTTCCTATTCTGTGCTGCTATTTTTAAAAGAAATTTTTGAGAGTTTTTTTTTAATGTGATGTAATGTGCATTTAATTTATAAACATATGTCCTTATGGATATGTAAGTTTTTATAACCACATAGTGATTTCACTATGGGTATAATACTGGCCAACATTTATCAAACACAATGGCAGGCATTGTGCTCCCATGCATCAATCATATCATTTAATGTCCCCAAAACCTAATACAGTTAATATTATTATTAGAGGGACCAAGGGTATATAAATACTAAGGAGAGAAGTAAGGAGCTCTGGTAGTGCAGTGATTAAAAACCCAGTCACTCTTTGGGAGAAAGATTTGGAAGTCTGCTTCCATAAAGATTTGAAGCTGTGGAGACTGCATGGGGCAGTTTGATTTCATCCTATAGGGTTGTTATGAGTCAGAATCGACTCAAAGACAGTGAGTATGGTGTTTTTGTTAAAGAGAGAACCAGAACTCACACCTTTTCTAGCTGACTGAACATTTATACTCATAAATAAAGTATATTCTTTTATGCAATGATATCCATGTAACCAGAATACCATCATCTCAATTGTGGATACTGATGGTTCATGAGGATGTTTTATTTCTTATTATAATTTGCCTCATCCAAATGTATGGCACTGAATAATACATTTGACTGTAATATTTTAGGTCAGGGAATAATAACATGACCTCTGGGCTATTTTCCTACAGTAAAAGTGTGGTCCATTATCTTTTTGAACTCTTTATAGCTAATGGTGAAACCTATGACTTTATGTTACTTACACTGTACTTACATTATCAATGGAAATGGATGCTTATATGATAATTTAGCTTTTGAGAACACCAAGATTATCGAGCTAGTCTTTCATAATAAGAACTCATGTTTCCATATCTTTGCCATTAGTTTTTTCATTGATTTTTCTTCACTAAAAAAATAAATCATAAATGACAAAGAGGAGTAATATCTCAGTATTTCCAAAGACATGATATAGTTTGAAACATTGTAATAATAAAGAATATGACTGATTGTGTGCAAGAGAATTCTGTTCCTTCTAAGGATTTGGAGCTATATACATTACTCATTGTTAACAGATTTTGAGAAAAACTTCTGTCTTACAAGTGAACATCCTTGAACATACATCAAGGATGGGTTAATTTGTTCAAAAAGGAATACAATATAGAAAAAGTCCTTCGAATTGTGCCGAAACATTTTCATCTCACTTTCTTCCTGACAGGTTGGATGGTCTTTCACTTCCTGATTATAAGATATTAACTATATTGTACTGTTGTCAGTTGCCATTAAATCAGCAGCAACTCATGGCAATCTTACATCTAACAGAATGAAACATAAACCAATCCTCTGCAATCTTCTTGATGGCTGGTATGTTTGCGTCCAGCGTTGCGACTACTGTGTTAATCCATCTCAGTGAGTATTCTCCTAGTTTTCCCTGACCCTCTAGTTCATTAAACATGATGTCCTCTTCTAGCAATTGCCCTTTTCTTATGACATACTCAAATTAAGCAAGTTGAAATCTTGTCATCCTCACATCTAAGGGACATTCTGGTTATTAGTACATTTACCCTAGAGGACCTTTATTTCCCTATCTTTTTGTTTCAAAGGGTTGTTATGAGTCAGAATCGACTCAAAGATAGTGACTTGGGGTTTTCTTTTCATGGAGGAGAGAACCAGGACTCACACCCTTCTCTAGCTGATTTAACATTTATACTCTTAAATAGAGTATCTTCTCTTAAGCAATGATATCTATGTAACCACATCATCTCAACTGTGGATACATGATAGAAAAGGGTCTTCTGCCTCCCTCTTCAAGAGGAGTAGTGGGATACAACTTTCAACTTCTTTGTCCCTCTATCATTCATTAATAGCACTTGAGATAGATTGGCATTCATTGAACCACAGCTCACTAGCATCCAGAATCAATGTATTTTTTTTAATTCAATATTCTTTGGCAGCTTCCACCATTCCACCAGTGCAGCAAGCTTTGTATTTCTTCTTGGAGGAAATCCACCTGTGGTGGAACTTCTACAGACTAGATAGAAAGCACATTATTTTCTAGCTCTTTCTCTTCTGATGGAGTGTTAGATCAGATCAACTTTATTCTGAGGTTCCATATGTCATAAACTGGGGGAGAAAATAAACACTCCTCATTATGACCTTATGGCAAGCTTGTATTTTCCAGCCCCAATATTCCTAAGGGCACTAGAATCCCTATGTAGAAATATGTTCTTGTAGGAACACTATGGTTTCAACATTTCAAAGGGTAACACTCAGGTTGGATATGGCTCACAGAAGTGTTTTATTTGATGCTTTGCTGTTTTCCTTAAGTTTAAGTCATCCAATAATTGAAAGCTTACCAAAAATAAATGTGGTTTTTTAGATTCTCTTGAGAAAGTGTTCAGCCTAACAACACGGAGCCTACGTTTTCATGAGACAGTACTCAACTAGAGCTGAGTAGAAGGTATCCCCTTTCCAAGAAACATGTGCTCTTCAGTTAATCACAAGCTAATTGCCCTCTATTGTCTACCTGACTGTGAAATCAAATGTCATTTGTCATCTGATTGTGTTCAAATGGTTTCAAATAGAGACATATTTTTTCTGTACCTGTTTCCCTCTGAACAAGGACACTCACCTGAATGTGTGGGTATTATGCTTATATAACTTGCTTTTTTTTTTCCTCTTACCTTTGGATCCTTCAGGGCATGTGAATTGATTATACATCCTCAAGCTTCTGAATGTGAAGAAGGGTTTTAGGTACCAAACTCTATTCTAGATCCCTAACAGTACTGAATTTTCAGCTATCACATCTACAGATACAGTGAGGTTTCTGTGATTACTTTCTTTGATTTTCAACAATTTCTCACTCTCTTTTGACCCTTTCCCAGTCTTTACACAATGTTTATTAGAAAGAGGAACCCTAGCTTTCCTGGTACCTAAGCTAAATTTCTATTTCTTAAAATAGAATCTTTGTCAGATATGACTTCAAAAGGCTGAAGGGATGGAGGGAATTAAAAATGTTAGTACAAATGAACTGGCATAAAAATATAGCTTTATTGATGCTAACAATTTTAGGCAGTTAAGAGACCACTCATGTACAGTGAGACAGGGAACACCATGTATAGATATATTTGATTCTTTGAGAGAAAATGTGCTGTAGGTTTTCTGTTGGAAAAACTGTAGGGTGGAGCTTAACCCTACAGCTTCCACCAAACCAGCTCCTTTCTGTGACCTTACCTTTGAAGACACATATGCTGTAATTGGTGTAACCCAACTGTATGTACCTGAATGACTTATAATGTAAAGTTGGCCAACAGGCGCAAAGAATGCACATTTAAATAGTTTACTTGGTTTTAAATCTTGGGCAGAATAGAGGATCAAACTTCAGACATCTTTCACATACTGACCTTCAAGGACCCAAGAAGAGTGTGCTCTTCTGAGGCCATTAGAGGCAATAATTCTGGATTCAGGTCCTTCAGGTCTTTTGTCTCCTAGAAATAAATAGTTTTTAAAAATCAATTATGAGGACACAATCTGAAAGTCCATTAGATGGTAAAAATGTCAGTTATTCCCATAAATTCATTTCACAAATAGGGTAGGTCAAAAGAGCAGTCATCATCCACCACAAATTAATTATAGGATATAAAAGTCGTTGTTATTAGACAAATCCGTGAAATGGTGAAGAGCAAGGGCTGAGATCTGGGGAACAGGTGGTTCCAGTTTGGAGCCATTTTGTATCCACTGGGTTTGTGACTCTTGGGGGACAGGCTTACAGAGATGTGTCTCCCACTGGGGTTGGGTATGAATCTCTGCCCGGCTCTTGCTCCTAAGGTGACTCTCTCCTTCACAGTAGGTGACGCAACAGCGACAGGTTGCAGAGGGCTTCCCTCTGTGCTTGGACATGGAGCCTGGGACTGAAGAAGAACCTTCAGCTCTCCCTGAGTTATGGAGTCCTGGGGGCTCTTTCAAACGACTTTTCCTCTTTTGAACATGGTCCAGACTGATGTCAGACTGGGAAGAGCAGCTCTCATTCCAGCCAGAGCTGGCACTCAGACTTCTCAAGGGAAGAGCCAACCTCAAAGCCTTCCAGAATTTGGAGCCAGAATGTTTGGACTTTTCTCCCTTCCAGCTCACAAAAGCCACAGATTCTTTCAGCTGTAGGATGCCTGGGTGTGGATGCTCAAGGGGACGGTACTCAACCACAATGAGTTTGGTGGCAATGGAGTTCTGGCACATAACCCCCAGTTTAAACTCCAGCATGCTGATGCTCTTTTCTGTCACATAGTCTGGGCTTAGGACAACAATCATCCTTCGGCTTCTCTGAATGAAGTCAAAAACTGCCTCCACCGTGTCTATAGCAAAATGGAAAGATATGATAATGGCTAGTGAAAATTTACATAATATCCAGCTTATTAGTGTCCATATTATAAACAAGCAGTGAATACACACTTCAAAATACAGGATTTCAGTGTTGGAAAGAATCTGTTAAAATGAATCATTTATTCCCCACCTGCACCATACTTACCAATGGTTGCTAAGCATCTGTTACTTTTGAGGATGGGGAATTAACTGCCTCCAAAAGCAGTTATTTTCACTTCTGTTTGTAAATCGTTTCTTGTTTTTGAAGTCTTCTTTGCTGGAATTTTTGTCTTAGGTCTCACATCTTCAAATACTTTTAAGTTTTGACAATAGTAAATTGTTAAACTATTATGACTTCACTGGACTTTTTTTTCACCTCTAAATGAATGATTAGTTACTTTATTTTCCATGTGACATGGTATCTAATCGCCTCCTATACTTACCTTCCTTTGATTAATCATCAATTTCTATGTGTGTGTACTGAGAAAGCAGTATTTTGAACATGATCTAAATATGATCTGATCAGAACAGAGCAATGGGGGAGTTACCAGTTGGTTAAGTGTTGGGCTGCTAATGGAAAAGTCAGGGGTTTGAACCCAGCATCTGTTCCCTGGGAGGAAGATGAGGCAGTCCGCGTCCATAAAGATTGATAGTCTCACAAACCCTAAGGAGAAGTTCTTGTCTGTCCTATCGGGTTTCTATGAATCAGAGTTGACTTGAGGACAGTAGAAGTTGTGTGGTTATGGTCCACATAAGGGGTTCGGTGGCAGACTGGGTATTTTATAGACTGCTAGTTGAAAAGTTGTCAGTTCAAACCCACCAGCCATTTCTCAGGAGAAAAAGATGGCAGTCTGCTTCTAGCAAGACTATAGGCTTGCAAACTCTATGGAGTATTTCTACTGTGTCCTAAAGAGTTGCTACAAGTTGGAATTGACTCAAAAGCAACAGATTTGGTTTTGGATCTAATGCTTATGGCCTCCTTGGGTGGTGCACATGGCTAATGCACTTGACTGCTAATGGGAAGGTTGGAGGTTTGAGTACACCTCTACAGAGGTGCCATGGAAGAAACACTTAATGCTTCACTTCTAAAAAATCAGCCACTGGAACCCCTCAGGGACACAGTTTTACTCTTAAGCACATGGTCACCATGAGTTGGAATTGACTCAATGGCATTCCCCACCCCCACCCACCCCCACCCCCAGTAATCTACATTGCAATATCTCTTGATACTTAAAACTTCAAAAAGTTCCTTTCTTTTCTTATTAGTGAAGAACTGGCCTGACACTCCAATTAAAGGGGCAACGACAATGACAATGTATTAACAATCTGTTAATTAGTTAAAACTTCTGTCCAAACGTTCCATTCTAATACTTACTAAGTTGGATGCAGGCCGATTCCAATAGCAAGTCTTTCAAATATATTCAGTGCTTAACTCACTTTGAGATCTGCTAGCACAGAGTGTAGACAATGTGATTTTAAGAAGAAAAGGAATTCAAAATGTATACATCACAACCATTGACAACTTTGAAAATAAATGCTGGAGCAAGACCAAGAGGTTGATTGCCAATGAATTTTGGGGTAGGGGCAAAACAAGGACTGAGAAACTTTTCAGCCTATAAAGCCAAGCTGAAAGTTTGCAGTGAATTTGATGATAATGCATTTGACTGGGCATGAGAAACCGTACTCTTTACCAGATTAATTTTTTCTAATCTGTCGATTTGACGTTAATTTGGAAGGAAACCAGAGGATGTATGTGATCAATTTTTAGAATTTGGGGCTGCTTTTAACAGGAGTGCAGTGTGTTTTACTTCAAAATAATTGCTTTAAGAGAATTTATGTGTGTTCCACTGGGTATGCCATTGTACAAAATAAACCGCTCTTGTGGATCTTCTAATAAAAATTATTTGGGAATCCCCTGAAACTTGGGGATTCACATTTGAAAGCGGGTAGTGCTTCTTAGTTGGGGATTGAGCTGTATTTAGGGGTCCTTGTTACTCTAAAGGCTGCTGCGTCCTCTTTTAACATCTTTCTATCATAGTGGTTACAAATTGGGCTGCTAATCTCATAGTCAGCAGTTCGAAACTATCTGCTGTTCCGCGGGAGAAAGATGAGGCTTTCTGCTCCCGTCAAGATTTACAGCCTGGGAAACCCTGTACAGGGTCACTATGAGTCAGAACTGACTCCACGGCACATAACCACCACCACCACCACCATTATTTATTTTGAAGTCCTGGTGTGGCGCTCTGGGTTAATGCGCCAGACTGCAAAGCCGTTTGAACTGCAAAGTCAGCGGTTCAAGCTCACCAGTTGCTCCTCGGAAACCCTATCACAGGCTCACAATGAGTTGGAACTGACTCTACAGCACTTAACATTATTTATTTTGAATAAGAACTAGTTGGAGATGGAGTTATAATTAGATGGTTTATTCTGTTTGGGTTACAAAACTAAATTAGCTACAGAGTTATAAACTGACTATGAAGTCATGGTTTCTGGTCCAGAATTCTTCAATAATCCACATGTTCCTTAGTTTAAAAGGCATAATCTCTTTAGGATTTACTGAGAGAAAACTAGAGATGTAATTCTCTTCTTTGGCTAGATTGTTGGTAAGGTTGAAAATGAATTAAAATCTTGGTTTCTCCTTTATCTATTTTCATGTTAGTATTGTTCATACTAAATTCTCCATCTCTAAAATGCATGCATAGAGGAACTGGTTGAAATCTTTTCTTCATTGTCAGAGACTTAGGTTCAATTCTTAGCCATTTTATGTAATGAACAATCACCACCCATTTGTCCATTGGAGGCTTTTGAATGGCTATGATACTGAACAAGTTTCTGTGTAGCTTCTACACTAAGACAGACTGAGAAGAAAGTCCTGGCAATCTACTTACAAAATTGTCAGTGAAAAAAAAAAGCACAACACCTTAATCCACATCTAGGGAATGGTTTTGTTTTGTTGAGCATGGTGTCAAGAGTCAGGGACTGACTTGATGAGAGCTAGCAACAATAAAAGGAGCTCTGGTAGCGTAGTGGTTACAAATCAGGCTGCGAACTGAAAGATCAGAAGTTCAAAACTACCAGCTGTTCCGCGGGAGAAAGATGAGGCATTCTGCTCCCATAAAGATGAACAGCTTCGGAAACCCTGTGCAGGGTCGCTATGAGTCGGAACCGACTCCATGGCACATAACAACAACACAACAGCAACAATAAAATGCAGATAATAGTAAATCTGTAGGGTTATTAAACAAATTATATGTATATAACTGATATGCAAATTGAGTCCTGGTGTGGCACTATAGGTTAAGCACTGGAATGCTAAGTCAGTTTGAACAGCAAGGTCAGCAGTTCAAACCCATCATCTGCTCCTTGGAAACACTATATAAGGTTCCTATGGGTCAGAACCAACTCCATGGCACTTAACAACAGCAACATATGTAAATGTCTGTGCAGGTAGTTTGCTATAGGCTGTTAACCTAAAGAAGGGTGGTTCAAATCTAACTGGCAGCAATCTCAAAGAGAGGCCTGGAGAACTACTTCCTTAAGGATTGTTGTTATGTGCCGTGGAGTCGGCACAGGGTTTCCGAGGCTGTAAATCTTTACAGGAGCAGAAAGCCTCATCTTTCTCCTGTGGAACAGCTCGTACTTTTGAACTTCCAACCTTGAGGTTAGCAGCCTGATTTGTAACCACTATGCTACCAGAGCTCTTTCCTAAGAATTACAGCCAAGAAAACCCTACAGTTTTGTTCTGTAACACACTGTCTTGCCATAAGTTGGGGGCCAACTAAAGAGCACGTAACAACAATAATGGCAACAGAGCACGGAAATATAAATAAATCACTTTCATTAAGTAAATATTATTTAACATCTAGGGAATACTATTAAAATAACAAACATATGGACAAAAGTTTACTGAATTTGAATCAATTCATGCTAGCTTTAGAGTGTGCACAAAACATGCATAAAGCACATCATTTTAGGATGTAGATTTATAAGGAGTGATAGGATTTTTAGTTAGCCATGGTGATACATTGGATTAATCACTGGTCTGCTGACAGCAAAGTTATTGGTTCAAACCCACCAGCCACTTTACAGGAGAAAGATGAGGCCATGCACTTCAGTAAAGATTTATGTATCAGTAACCTGGTGTAGCGCTGTGGGCTAATGTGTCAGACTGCAAAGGCATTTGAACTGCAAGGTCAGCAGTTCAAGCTCACCAGCTGCTCCATGAAAACCCTATACAGGGTCGCTATGGGTTGGAACCAACTTGAAGGCACTTAACAACAACAACACAACCCTATAGATGAATGTTATGAGTCAGAATCCACTCAGTGGCAGTGGGTTTGGTTAGAACAAGACGTTCTTAAAATGTCTATTTAGTTTAAAGTTAATTTGTACAAAAATGACTGAAACACTTAATCTCCCAGACTCTTGATAAATAACCTTATGTTCTTCAGATAGAATAGAGAAATCATACAGACCAGTTACTGAATGTGCCTTTCATACCATACTACGAATTTACCATAGTGTCCAAGTCCTAGTGATATCCGATAATAATTGAAGAAAGTATTTTGGAAGTTTTAACAAGGGCAGGAATAGCTAGTAGGTTCAAAATGCTGATATAGAGACATTTAAGCAGACAGCAGTATGCACAACCAACTATTCATCTCTCATATTGTGGTGGCTTGTGTGTTGCTGTGATGTAGGGTCACACATGGTAGACAGGTTTAAGCAGAGCTTTGAGACTAGAAGACTAAGAAGAAGGAGAAACAGACCACTTTTGGATGGCTACCTACTGAAAACATTATGACTAATAGTAGTATGTTGTCAGATATAGCGCTGTAAAATGAGTTCCTCAGGTGGAACACAAACTACGAATGGGCAAGAGCTGCCTCCTCTATGTGGAGTTGACTGTACTGATGGAAATGGAGCAAACCATTTGGGACCTTCATTTGCTGATGGGGTACAACTCAAAATGACAAGAAAATAGTCCAAGCTG